CCTATAGGGCTGCCACCAACACGTTGAAGTCCCTTTAAGGAAACCAACCCCTTAAACTTTGAAAGGGTTGGTACCACCCACATAATCCCAGGAACAGCCCTGGCCCATAAATCTCAACAGATAGACCACTGAAGCATGACCACAAAAGCAGAGCTCTGACCCAGCTCTGTGGAAACAAAACTCAGCTAGCTCCCCCCCTCCCACAAAACAGACAAGGTACACTCAGAAAAAAAAATATAACAGAGGAATGGGTTTGTACACAGACTTTGAGAAAGGACAGAATGCCAAGTAAATGGTTTTATATGACACTATGCAAAAATACCTCTTTTGTGAGTACATGTATTATACATGTATGTGTAGTTCTGTTCTTTTCAAAGTGTACATGATGTTGCCTATTTTTGTCTCTCTAGCTGAGCCAGCTGAGCTTTAGTTTCCACAAAGCTGGGTCAAAGAAATAAACATACTCACAAAAGAGAGATTTCTTGCATGGTGCTTCTGAAACCCTCTTACTAAACTTGCCGCCTTCACCATGAAAAGCTTCAAAGCTCAGGATAGGATGCATTCAACTGTAGGCTAATGCACATGATCATGGCCCTGAACATGTAGAATCATGTAGATCAGCCAAGCAACTTTACCAAAAGGGGCTCAACAACACGTCAGTCTCTAGTTCCCATTTGGTTTGGCATTTTGCTGAATCTTCTAACCACTGAAGGATTCAGGAATAGGGTTAAAGGGTGCCTGATGAACATGTACAGTGTACATGTACTACCATAGAGCTCTATGGTACTACATATATACCCGAACTGGTGCATACAGGTACGTACTTTGTACAACTTTCTACTCCTCTTAAATGTAAGAAAACTACAATCAGATATATTTTTGATTAAGCTCATTGAAAAACACTTTTTCAACTTTTAAAATTTTGCATGTTTTAGAGGGCACTCTTGTCTGGTAATTTACACTATAGAGCTCATATCACATGTGCATGTACATGTGAAAGAGAATGGCAGACAAAAACTGCAAGGTTCTCTGGGAGTTTTGGTTGGTGGCCAACCTTTACACAAAAAAGACAGCTGCTCTCCATCAAAGGTGGGAGTAAACAGGTGGAAGGGTCTAGTTCTAGACAGGTTAGGGTCAGGGGTCTAGCTAGAATTACATTACATGTAGTAGGGAGGGGATTGGCTCAAGGGAAATGGGACCCCCCAATAAACATGATCTTGTCTACTGATTGTCTGAGGGTGGTTTTATTCTTGTACCAAGCAGTTCCAAACACCTGATATCCATGCAGTGTAAAGAAATACATACACGTACAGTAGGTGTGCGCACACGTACTGTACGTACATGCACATGACGGAAACCTATGCAAACTGTAGGTCTATATTAAAACAGTGGAAATGCTTGAGTGGTGAAAAGGTACAGTTAGCAAGTACAAACTCTGCAAATATTGACCTTCCAACTCTTCAGCTGTAGGCCTATGCATTGCATCTTTCCAAAGGCAATCATTTGGCAGCAAAATGCCAGGAAGATGGACTTAGTTCAGTAGATTTGTGACCAGATCCCTCAAAAAACGGATGTGAAGGCTATATCTTCCCACAATTCCGTTGTAGTCTGAAACAGAAAGAGCAACCTACGGTAACCTCTTTGTTCTGATGCACATTTAGGCATACATTACTAAGTTTGGCCCTCCGATGAAAAATGGGTACACTGTGGCTGAACAATGCTTAGCGTTCTTACTGATCGATACATTGTATTTTAAAAAGCCTTTGACTCCTACGTAAAGGTAGTGGAGACAACTTGCATTTTGTTAGGTTGGGTCACATTTTATGTATTAAAGCAAAGTAAGATTTAGCAGTTCAAGTTCTACATTACCATCAAATGAGTCTCTGGAAGGGGACCCAGTTTGCTGGGGAGTTTTTTCTCAGTGGGCTACTAGATTAACATTTTTATTTTTGGCACCTTGGAATAAAAGTGAAAGTGGGAAATAAAACTTCATTATAGATGTAATTCATCTACACTGATGAATAATTTAAAAGTTGTGATTTATTATGCCTAAATGTTTTAAGCAACACTAAACAAAGAAAGTGAGGCATGGACCCTGAAGTACAGTAGTCTGGCACCACCCCATTTGACAGATTACACTGAATGAAATAGATTTAGGGAACAAGATTTTTAAAATGGCTCCCTTGTGAATATGATCTATCGTGTAAATTTCATCAAATGTGAGGTACACATGTAAATCGCTGCTCAACAACATGTACATTTGCAGGACACAGATGGGTGAATGAACAGAAAATCTGCTTGTATACGAGACAAGTCTGAAATGAGAAAGAAAAAAGTATCATGGCAGGTCTGCCAAACGTTTATCCAGCAACAAAATGTCAGATGAATAACAAACTGAAGCAAAGCAGAGATGACTTGTACACATACATGTACGTCACACCACTTCCTAAAAAAACATCTGTTAAGAGAGGGGAAGTTTGATATGTTTTCATTTGGTAAAAACCACTTCCTGGGTGTTTTTTTTTCTTTTTTGAAATTACTAAAATTTTAATTCTTTGTTTAAAACACACAGTAAAGACAGAGTCATCTACCATGACAAACTCTCATCTTCAAAAATATTTTTATTAATTTTTCATAAGATAAAAAAAGAAAACCTGAAATAGATTAGCAATAACATACACGTAATGCAGGAAATGACAGACAGTTCTGTATCTTTTGGTGCAGAATGTCAAAAGTTTTGGAGTTTCTATCATACAAAATCTCCAGCCCCACATTAGAATGTACCATACTGTCTGTACTGTCTTCAACTGGGTCATTCCAGAAATTCAGGGTCCAAAAGTATGACATTTCTGTGTCCCCTGTTCCCCCTGAACTGTGTTCTTTCACAGGAGTGTATCACCGGAATTCATTTCAAACTACTGGTATTACTAGTTGTTTGGCAGGTAATTTGCATTAATTCATCACTCTTGGAAATAACAGATTGGGTTCTGAACTTGCAAAATCACGTCAGATATGACGGGGACACGAAAAAAATTGGACTTGTGATTTAAAGAATTACCCCATTGTAAAAACGGTACATCAGCAACAAGAGCATGCGCATGTGCATGAACAGTACATACGTATCTATACGGTGATTTTTCAACTGGCCATGACCTTCAGTTCTTGTTTAAATAGAACTTACACGTACTTTTGTGCCTTCATTTGGCCATACATTGCTCTACCTCAAATATTTAAACAAGGTAGACCCCCTGTCTTTGGTACAGTGGCATTACGTGACATATCAGTAAAGCATGGAATGTGTCTGCTGTTTTAAAACGGCACCTTACAGACTTCCATCTAGACTTTTCTTCCAACTGCACATCGGTGCTTTATCTCAAGTGCTAATTCACTTCATTGAAACATTTCTTGCAGATCTTATTTTCAGTTTGTTCTGACAACGAAGTATTAACCTTACTGGATCAAAATCCAACTCGTCAAGTTTACGTCTTGCTGGTGCACATGTCCATGTACCATACATGTACATATACAAGGATTCCAATACGGATAGGCCTGCATATTTCTGCTGGCAACTGCTTACCTTAAAAAGTGCATTTTAGTGTCAAAGCACTAGAATTCTGGACTTCTTCGAAATTGATCAAAATTTTATAAACTACAAAACTTCAGTCCCACTTCAAAAGTTCTGTTTGACAAGTACTACTGGCATCCATATGGATACTGTAGTGACTTACCAACTACGGTGCTTCCCTCCCTCAAATCGGCACACTCTCCCAATCAATTTTCCCCCAACCTCCAAAAACACTTGTTCCCCCCTTCTAGGTCCCCAGGTCCCCGAGGAACAAAAATTGCACTCTATCTGGCCAGACTTCATTTCCCACACCATTCAACCCTTGGCCGGACTCCTGCTGAATCAGCCTAATGATATAATTTACAGGGCTGATACAGGTACGGCACTCCCCTTCAACCTTTGAACCTTGCAGACAAACCTGAAGTTGAGAACGCTTTTCTCTCTTTCCCCCTGCTTTTCTTTGGTATCAAAGCATTCTGGAATGTGCACGCGTGAGAAATTAAGAATGAACATACAGGTAAATGTACATGTACATGTACTTAGAATGAAAACCACTGACATGCAGTCTGCATGATCCAATGAATGCCAATGAAACTTATTATTGTCAGGCAAAATGCTGCTGTTTTGTTTCAAGCAGTAACTTAGAAGAACTGTGCATATGGGGCCATCCATTTTTTTTAGATCCTTTGCACAAGCCTACAGAACACGGGATTCTGAAGGATCACAGTTTGTGTGGACTTTTAAAAAACGTGGAAAATGTTGATCAGCCATTAGAGAAAAGAGAAGGTTGTGTAGGCTTGGAAAAGGATGGTAAAATGGGCAAACCCCAACTTAATCGCCTCTCTTCTTGACAGTATTTCAATGGCTATTTACAGTACTGAAGGACTACAACAACCCTGAACAATTCATGTTTCCAGAATTTCAAACGGTGGGTAAAAACCAGTGTTGATGAAATTCAACTCATAAGAAGAGCCAAAAATCTGTTGGGTGTCACTACAGTAATGTCAAATCTCATGATTAATCCTTTGGAAACTAGAAGCACAGTACACACCTGGGGAAATTGCAAAACCTTTGGTTTATGATCCAGATTGTCAGATTGAATTCAATCTGACACTTTACCTACTAAAAGGCTCAGTCCACTGCAAAATGGTGTAATATATGAAATGTTTCTGCTTACATTTCCATGGTGAAACAGTGACAGGATGACATTTTATTGAGGGTATTTGAATTTCCAGATCAGACGCCATTCTAGAAGCTGGAAGTTTTCCTATGAACTAAGTGAGTGAACTGAGAATGGGGTGACAGCCAAAAGGTACAGTCATGTTCAAATCAACTGGCTGTACGATACCTTAGGTGGTGCATGGTTGCAGGCACGCCAGCAAATGGCTTCCACTGCCCCACCTGTTATTCCCAGTCACAACCAAAAGCTTTGGACAAAAGTCCTTCTCCTCTTTGAAATCTAACAGAATTTCTTTGCGCCTGTCTGACTTTGATGCAGGCAAGTCGTGAAAAGGTCTAAAGCCTTGGATATGGAGACATACCTTGTCTGACAGGAAGGAATCATTTATTTGGGCGAATACCCACTGCACAGATGGCCCATTGTTACGCCACATCAATATTTATTATCACTGATCTGCAGGTTATCCATTAAACATCCAATTACTCCAAGATGCTATTGTTTTCCAATGACAATCAGAAAGCTCAAGCAACTGTTAATAAGTGTCACTGGAATGATGAACGTTAATTTTTAAAATTCAATCTTTCATTCTCAAATGGTGAACTGATGTGTTGAGCCAATGATGCAAACAAATCTGACAACATTGGTCGTCATATTGGCAACTGCGCCTCTTGTCATACTTACAATTAGCATTCATGTTCATGTTCATGTCTATGCCACACGACACAGCTGCTGACGATGTTGGCAGTGTGGTCTGTTGCTGCTGGTGCTGCTGTTGTTGTTGCTGCTGGTGCTGTTGTTGTTGCTGCTGTTGCTGCTGCTGCTGTTGTTGTTGCTGCTGCTGCTGCTGCTGGTGCACCTGCATCGGCTCTGCCAGGGCCCTCATGGGGTCCTGGTGGGGGTGGGGTATATGGTGGGGCAGGGAGGAGGGAACCAGTTCCTGCTGGGCCGGGTATCCGCCCAGCTTCTGTAGGGCAAACTTCTCCACTTTGAACTTGAGCTGCACCCAGCTGCTGGGGCTGGGTGGGGCCGAGTCGGAAGGTTCTGTTTTCACCACCCACTTGTGGGCATGACCCGGCTTGGGAGAAGGTGGTACATGTAGGTTTGCTGGAATGAGACCAAAAACGGATACAATAGCAGTCAGATGGAGCCGTCAACAGAGAAACCCTTGGCAATACAGTTGAAGGTTGAATTTCAGAACTTATATGTAATACTAACTGCTGGGGGAAATGTTTTGAAGAACTGGAAACCAATAATCATCTGTTCACATACTCCCCGTCACACGTGAACACATCAGGGAGTTCTGGCCGACACCTGTCATTATGAATTTACATGGAAACCAGATGATCTATTTCTTCCCTATGCAAAAGCATTTGCCCAACCCATAACCATGTCGCATTTGCTCTCACAGTACTCTAACTTCATGTGAAAAATGAGTTTCTGACAAGTGCTGTATGTACCAGTATGCACACTGCAGTTTTTAAAGTTAGACATTGTAACTCATTTGCTACAGAGGCATGAAGATGCTTTAACAACAACCAAAAGAAGGTCCACCACATTTGTGACATTTCACAAAGGAAACATCCAACAATGAAACCTAATGAGTAGTGAAAGGCCATGAGCAGATAAGAAAACTGGAGAGACTTGAGAATATGTCGTCTTTCTCAAACATGACTTACACAAACAGCCTAACAATTTCTCCTATTTATCCTCAGTGTAAACTGTTTCTACGAATTCCCTTCGGATACAGACATGTTATTTGCCATTTCCAGAGGGCTGCTCCTCGCAACACCTATCCTTTCCATCAATTCCTCTCCCTTTGTGATTGCAAAATACCACCACGTCAACTAAAATTCCCCCTGCTGCTCCTGGTCAAAAGAAGGCAGGGCCTCATCATGAATTTGTCATGATAAATTTATGATGCAATCCCCGGAGAACGTTAACATCTGCCCGGGATTGTGGCAACCAGAAGAGCAGAGGACAAATAGACTTGATTCAAGTCCTTTTGTCTCTATCAGTGTTAGCGTTTGCAGGACTATAAGGAGGGATACAAAACTACAATGGTTGGAAGTACAAGTTTCAGACAGACAGTCTGTGGATGGCAGCATAATGTTCAGAGCTGATGTGCCATTTTTCTACAGGCTAAAATCCGAAGTGTGGAATCCAACACTTGCATTTGTGCAGTCAAAGACTACACATTGAAAGTGTTCAATCCAGCATTTCAAATTTTAAATCCGGCATTTGAAATACTAAATCTAATGTTGAAGGAGTTCATTAACAATTCATGTGTCGGTATTCAACATTTTTTAAAAGGTGTTCTTTAAATTGGTTAATTAGCACTGAAAATGTCGAAGTATAAGGTTGGATTGAACACTTGTTTCAAGCATGTAATGCATTTTGTATAGTGGCAAACACCAATTATAACAATACTACATGAAAATGCCCTGTAAGAAGTGTTCGTATATTTTCCTTAAGTAAACAGGAAAAGTTGATAAAGCCACTTAATGAAGATTATGAAAGTGCTTTTGTGTATTTGTTGGCTTTTTGTTTTGGTACCGGTACCTTTTAACTTAATTCATAGTTTTTGTGCCAGGCTGTTGGTCCTTAATTTCTCCTTTGCGCTGCTTACCAGGGAGACGATTGTCATTATACATGTACATGGACAATCAATCTCCAATATTAACCCATGCTACCAGTAGTTAGTAGTTACCAGTGAGTTGGATGAGAAGGATTAAGCAATTCATGTGAACTATTTAACATGTGCATAAAGACTTTGAAATGGAAATCTGCAGAACTGGTTGCTTGCAAAAAACAAATTTGGTATTTTGTAGCCAAAAAAATAAATGAAAAAAAAAAAAGACTCGATAGAGTCAACAGGAGTGTCTTCCAGTGTCAAGGGCGATACATTAGCAAATACAGCACGTGCGCAGGGACTACCAAGCCTCAGCGCATGTGGTTCTCATCAGGGCAACCAAGAGGGATACCTCATCTTGTTGCTCCCCTCCAAGCCCTCTGCCCACCCCTTTATCCTTCAGCTTCATTTCTTTATAGTCATTCATCATTCATTTTTCCCTCCCCCCAGATGGGAAGGGGGGGTAGACCCTCCTTGTCTCCTGCGAGGTCACAGCCACCATTTGTGCCCTTCAAGTGTGGGGTGGTGGCGTCAATTTTACGGCCTTCTGAAGTTCTAGGGCACCATTGGGGCTTGTGAGGTACAAACAGGCTTTTGTGTGTGGAGTTCTTCAGGAAGTCTATGGATTTAGCGGGAGACATCACAAGTGATTAGAAAAATGCTTGTGACAACAACACAAACAGGGTGCCAATGGCTACCAACAGGAGAGAGTATCATTGTACATATCTCCTTTAAATGTAGGCCTGCTATACACGAATATTACGCAGTTCACAAGTACAGTACTGTGCAGACAAGATCACCTATGCACAAAATTCATGAAACTACATTTCCCACATTAATCAACAAACCAAGTTGCCCATGACATCATGCCTGACCTTGCACCTTTCAAGAGTGACCCTGCTGGAATGTCCAAATAGGAAATGACACCATTCCCAGAATAATAGGAAATGCCAAAAAGGAGGTCACTGTCTCCATAAAAAACTAAACCAAGGGGGTTTGGCAAAGCTTAACCGGTACGTGACTATGTACAGAAGGCATACATGTACAAATAAACTGAACCAGGGTACTTGTAGATCACTGAATGCATAATGTACATGTATGTGAAGCACACGCTGTATAAAAGTAAGATCCAGAAGAACATTTACTCAGAATGTATGTTATAAGTCACAACCTGAGACCAAAATCAAGCTTTGTACCAAAATACAACAAGCAGAACTTCGTTATCAACACTTGTCCAATATGGATAGCTGAAGTATTCACACAACGCATTGAAATAAATGTACCCGTCAATGTAACACATCTACATACAGTACATAGCAGTGACAGTACAACTAAATGCAATTTATCACTCCACTCAAAACACATGGGAGACCTACAATGGCCTCCAATACACAAGTGCATGAAAAGGTTGAAGACTTCTCTAAACAGTTCAAGGGGAAGCAGAAAAGGTAGTGATACGTGTAGATGCATTGTGCAATTTCAAATATCAGTTTTTGTCTCTAGAGACAAAATGGGCACATGAATGGAACAAGTGTTTGTACCTATTGATCCATATGTGAGTAAATTTATGGGCAAATGTACCAGTACATTGTTCCTGTACCTGTGTGATGTATGCATAATGTACATTTATAAAATACATACATGTAAATAAAATACATGCATTTAACATAATTGGTTTGGATGTTAGGCAAAGGATTTTCAACCACTGTTGAGGCCCACCATATCAGAGCATGATGGATCAATATGTACAATGTACTGGCAAATAACACGGTGTAACAGCATGTGAGGTGTGCGTACAGCGTGAAATTTAGTACATCAACGATAAGTGTCCCTTTAAAACCCCTCCCAGGTATCCCCATCTCCATTCATGGCAACCGCAAATTAGCGTGGAATCCTGGGTAGGTCTTTCCCCAAACTCCCCCCCTCCACTCACTCCCTTTCCAGTCTAGCTTGCCTAACCGCAAGAATGCGCAGCCGACCAGGGATACACCTCTCGTCTCATCTAATTATGTCTGGGGTTCTTGAGGCATCTTCCGAGTGCCGTGGCTTCTGTGCTCAAGGCCCAACTGTGATCTTTTTTTCCCCTCTATTATGCCTGCTCTCCAAGAATGAGTGAACGAGAGGCTTTTCTCATGCTCTGTGTCTCTCTCTCTCTGTCGCAGTCCAACCACAACTCATAACCATGTCTGGTGCCCTGTGGCTATTAAGCATCCTTACGCTTTTGAGCATACAACGCATTACTGACTGAAGTTGAACTGTTTGGTTCGATGATATTTTTTAAAGATTTCAGAAAATCTCCAATTTTGCAAGCAGGGCAAAACAATGACAAACATCTGTGCATGTATTTTTTTAAATGAAATAATTTCACCACTTCGCTTACGCTTGAGGTCGGCTTATGCAGAATGCAAGCTCAGATCAATGCCAGATCTTTGCCGTCCACATCTTTTCAACACAACAAATTCAGTCTGGCATGATGAGCAAAGGGGTGTGATATTTTGGGGCGAAGTAATCCATCCACATCACAGCTTATCCTCCACACTGCACTTCAACTCTGCCATGATTTTGCGTGAGAAGGGCAGATGAGTCAGACCGATCAGAGAGATCAAGTGTGTGCCCACAAAAAAAAAACCAGTTTTCTTTTCTTCTTTATTTGAAAGTCTCCAGCCGACTAATTGATCGATGCAATTCCCCCCCCCCATTCACAAACACACACCCAAATCCATGAAATGTTCACATTGAAACTAATGCAGGATTCCGCTCACACAAACTTTATTGGAGTGACAGATACATCCGGTGATAAAAGTACCCTTGGAAAAGAACCATTCTTAATATTCAAATGGGAAACGCCCTTTTTGGATGCTGAAAAAACAAAAGGAACAGAACACATGGGCCAAACTAACCACAACAAAACTCACTTTCTTTTTTTTCAAAAACTTATTTCCTGAGTGATATTGGATATGCATTACCAGGAAAGATACATGCATGTACTTAGTAGAAGTACAGCAGTGGGTTTGTAAAAATTATTACTCACACATAACGTCTGAGGAAATTTGGAAAAATAAGAGAACTTCTAAACACCAAATAGGTGGTTTTTTTATCTGCTCATTGCACTTTGTACTTGACATATACAGCATTGTTAATACATCCAGAAGCTGAAATGATAACATTCCATACAGAAGCATCATTGCCATGAAGGACTAAGTCAGTCAGCTACCAATGACAGCCAATTTTTACTATTTTTTTTCCCTGTTCAGTTTGAAAGCAGTAAAACAACTCAACAGTCCGCATGAAAAGAGATTCCAATTCCATAACTGTGTGGGGACATGTCTTGAGTCTGAGTGTACATGCATCTATAACTGTTCGTCCTGTTCTATATCCCTTCCCAAACCAATTCTCAACCCATTGTTGCCAAACATGAGACCTTCTGTCCTTGAGAAGATTAGGCCATTTGAGGTCATCTTGTGGTTGAGGGAAA